TTGTTGGTGGGAGTGCCAAGGTGCAAATGGCATTCCTGAGATTGCTGAATATTGGCAGCTGTTCCAATGGGACCAGGCTTCTGGGTGTGTAACTAATGTCACAGGCAGGCCACTGAACCCTGCTGACAGGGACAGGAGACTGCCTAGCTCTGAGGACAGTCTCCTACAGAATCGGCAGTTGCAGAAGGAAACATTGGTGGAGGGCATCTGAGAAGCCAGAGCTCTTCCCCAGCTGACCTCTTCCTCCCCAGACTGCAGGGGGACAGGGTGGCGGGCCTGCCCCTGGTCGCTCTGCCTGTGAGATGGCTCCTGCCAGTTACGCTGCTACCCAAAGAGACCCACCCAGCCATCAAAGGGGTCTGTGAGGTTGTAGAGTTCTGGGGAGAGGGTCATCACCCTCTGCTGCTATCAATGGGCACAGCCTCCATCCTGGACCAGCTGGAGCTGAACAGCGTGAGTAAGGGAAGGGAGGCAGGAACACTCCTGTGTGTGTAGTGGGGGACGGGGGTCTGGGGGCAGGCTCAGCCTACAGTGGCTCTAGGTTCACTACTGAGCCTCGGCCTCCAACTGGCGGCAAACAGAATCCACAGACTCCCTTCTCTCCTGCTCCCTGAACTCAGCGCAGCCTCAGATCGGATCTGGCCAAGGCATTGGCCTTGTGCGAGGAGTTCTGACGGCTGTAGCAGTTGCTGGTGGGGGGACCTCACCAGGGTAGCAGCAAAGTGAGCTGGGCCAGCCTAGAGGCAGGCAGCGGCCTCCAGCAGCACAACCCTGGGTGTGTGCATGGCTGGCCCAGTACCACACAGGCACATGCACCGTATGGCACCTAATGCCATGGAGCAGCCACTGCCAGAGGGCACAGGGAAGCAGCTCCAATGCTAAAAGGATCTGAGCCCATGGCAGGCACTGAGACTCCTGAAACCTCTAGAGTAGCTGGGGTGGATGAATCATAGAATATAAGGGCTGGAAGGGATCCTTGTGAAGGTCATCTCAGTTCAACCTCTGCTCAAGCAGGACCAATTCCCAGTTAAATCATCCCAGCCAGGGCTTTGTCAAGCCTGACCTTAAAACCTCTAAGGAAGGAGATTCTACCATCTCCCTAGGTAACGCATTCCAGTGTTTCACCACCCTCTTAGTGGAAAGTTTTTCCTAATATCCAATCTAAACCTCCCCCACTGCAACTTGAGACCACATTCCTCGTTCTGTCATCTGCTACCATTGGGAATAGCCCAGGAGCCATCCTCTTTGAACCTCTTCAGGTAAGTTGAAAGCAGCTAACTGGAACAGATGACTGGCAGTGATTCCTGAGCTAAACATGTGATGAACCAGACTGGCTCCAAGGCCTGGGCAACTTCCCCAACCCTCTTCCTTGGCCTCCCATCAGTAACCTGGGGACACTTTGCTTGAACAATTGTCCAATGTACACGGATTAGCAGCCCCACGAGATCTGTGCACATGAAGGAATTAAGGGAATCCGAGTTCTGTGGCTATGTTTCAGTTGCAGGAGCCAATGAACATGCCTGTCGGGTCTGGATTAGACTGGGAGGAGCAGCTGCCCATCCTGCAGCAGCCGATTGAGAAGGTACCACACGAAAGGTCACGGCTGGTCCTGGAGCAGCAGGAGGCTGTGGGCCCTTCACTTCCGCTAGGTGTTCAGTGACCTCTGATCCCTTTCCTTATGGGTGGCTTTGATGCCTAAGACCTGGTGGGTGCTAAGGATGAACATAGCAACGGTCACTGAGGCCAAGGATGCAGTGACCAGCAGGGTGAGCGTGGCCTGGCAGGCTGTCCAGGAGGCGCAGGTGACCAA